AGCTAGCACAGATTGGCTCACAGGCCAAAAGCAAACACTAGCCAAACCAAACATGATATAAAGGCTATCTTACGATTAGTCCAAGTGTATTAAGATACTAAGCCTGATTCCCTGGCCTAGAGCATTTACACCAATGTAACTCTGTAGAGGGGTGGAGAGGCCCCACCACCACTGGGGCGGGAATCCCCCTCCGGGAACCCTTTTGGGCACAGCCTAGCCCCTTCCTGTCACCTGACCGGAAGTCAGTGGGCGGGGCTAGGGCTATAAAGAGCCAGGCTGAGAGCTCAGTCTGGGCCCAGCCGCAGTGGGAGACAGAGGCCTGTCCAGAGCTCCCTGCTACAGAGACCTGGTTAGACCCGCCAACCAGCCTGTCCCCTGACTCAGAGGAACCAGAGGCCTACACTGGGCTCCCTGAGAGGGAGACTAGGGCTGGGACTGGTCCTTGGGGTCCTGCTCATCCAGCAGCTCTGGAAGGCTCTCAGGGTTCGAGGGTGCCAGCTGGCACCAGGGTTCAGGCAGGTCCCTCTGGGCAGTCACGTCCTCCTGGCTCTCAGGTACGGCCGGTCCGGGGTATAAGCGGGCGTCAGGGCTCCAGCAGGTCCTCGGATTCAGTCAGGTCCTCAGGGTCCTTCCCTGCTACACCCCACTACAGACTCAGTTACTTTGCTAGGGTTACACAGGGGTGAAAATGGTGTAACATAGCAGTGAATCAGGCCCAAAGAGAGGATTACAAAAGACCTCGCTTCACAGCTCACTTACTCTTGGTCCCACAGAAATAGCCACCCGGCATTAATGGCGTTGTTCAGTATCCACACCAGATAGAAGGACGTTGGCAATAAGTCTGGCTCTCTGTAGACCCATCCAAGTTCATTCCTGCCAATGAAATGCTGGCATTTGGAAAATGCAGAATCTAGTGAGTTCTGGCTTTGTGGCCTTACAAACCATGCTTTCCATTTAATTCATTCATTACATCCCATGCAACGTCACTGCATGTGATGCATTACAACCACACCTAGCCTACACAGCGTATCCCAGCATTAGCATCTATGCTGATAGTTAACATCAATGTCCTAGACCAGGGGTTGGCAGTCTTTCAGAAGTGGCGTGCTGAGTTTTAACTTCTTCACTTCTCTTTACGGATCTTCGTGCCATTGATACTTTTTAAAGTCAATAATAGCGCTACTTACGTTTTAGCAGCTTCATTAATAAATAAATTAAGATGCAGCTCTGACCTTATTTCAGTCTTCATGGACACTTAATTGTTTTGTCCTTTCTCCTGAGACTGTCAAAAAAGTGGTTGTGTTGTGCATTCTCTGGGATATGGACTCTTTTGTGTCTCAGACACAACTTGACTCATTCCACTTAAGCCACCAAATTTACATGACTACTTATGAGGGCTGGATTTCAATCTGTGGACTAGCAGCCACCCCATCCCAGCCACCAGCCAGCAGGGGCTCAGGGAAACTTCGGAAGTCAGAAAGATCTGCCAGGTTGGCTGGGGGAAGGGAGAGAGAGAGAGGGAGGGGAGACCAGAAGGCTGAACTGCAAGCCACTAAGCAGAGTATGTGGGCTGTAGCTATTCCTCACTTGTCACCACCCTCCACCCTGCCCCTGAGGCTAGCGGGGCTGAGGTGATTCAGTGCACCTGGGCAACTTCAGGCTGGGGACCTAATCTCAGCAGCTAGGGGATCTATTGGGAGCTGCTGTTTAAAAAAACCCTTCCTGGATTGAATGAATTATGATGACACCCCCTGCAAAAGAAAGAGCTACCAATTTTCTCCATTCCACCCAGCTGGGTCTCAGTCCCGCCCCCCTCACCCTCACTTCCCCTGGTTCCTGCCTGGGGCTTCAGTACGTGCCTCCTTATCGGGAGGGGACTCTGTAGTTGGCCCCCGTTGGCAGCGAGTTTGGGAAGCCCAGGAGTTCAGGAATTGAGAGAGAGGGGAAGAGAGAGAGAGGGCGGGGGCTCGGAGAAGGGGTGCAGTAGGGACGAGGTAGGGGGAGAGCAGAGGCCAGAAGCGGCAGGGCAAGGCTGGGGCCTGGGGTGGAGTGTGTGGGGGGGGGTGGGTTGCCCTTCTCTCTACACTCCCCTAGGAATAGCCCTGTGTGGATGTCCATCTCGTCTAGGTTGCAAGCATTTGGGGGCAGGTCCTTTCTGTCTCATACCTTGCACAGGGCTGGGAACATACAAAAAATAAATATTCCCATGGGATCAGAAGGCCAAAGACTGGAAGAAGCAACTCAGCCTTGCTCCTCAGACAAAAGAAGGTTCCCTGCTCTCTACACTCCCCTAGGAATAGCCCTGTGTGGATGTCCATCTCGTCTAGGTTGCAAGCATTTGGGGGCAGGTCCTTTCTGTCTCATACCTTGCACAGGGCTGGGAACATACAAAAAATAAATATTCCCATGGGATCAGAAGGCCAAAGACTGGAAGAAGCAACTCAGCCTTGCTCCTCAGACAAAAGAAGGTTCCTCAGCTGGGTGTCAGATTAGCTATGGCGGCACATGAGGTAAATGCCTGCAATCAAATTCTATGGAGAAAAAGTACCTTCTGCAGATGCCTGACAGAGCATAGCCCAGCCAAGCAAACTGCCAAGCGTAGATGACATTCCAGATGAAGAAGGTCCAGCCAGCTGGTGTGAAGTCGGTGTTGTACTTATTGGAGATGTTTCCAACAGTATTTAGGAATACACCTGGAGCAACGAAGGTTATTGCAGGAAAACATGTTACTGCACAAGTAATGGGAAGAGCCTGCCAATCAACACGCCTGCACTCAGTGTTAACTCATCGCGTCAGCATAAAGCTGTGCAAGCTGAGAGGTCTCTGGGCAAAGGGATTCCCGTGGTGTGGTGGGCTCGTCTCTGCAAAATCACTGGCTAGGTGAGGCTCATTGCTCATGAGGAACAGGTGCGACTTGGAGCGAGTTAGAGGGAACCGAGTGACAGTGACACCGAACCAGAAAAGCCAGTCCGGCTTGAAAGCCAAATCTGGGAGCGAGCCACGGTACGCAGCGCTGACAGACTCAATCTCCTGGAATTGGTGGCACTGAGCTTGATAACCCACAGGCAGCTGTAACTGAAGATGCTTGTCCTTTCTGGCTGCCAAGTCACTGGCTGCCAAGTGCCGGACAGCCCTCACTTGCGGGGAGGGGAGAGGGCTGGTACAAGAATTCTTTCCTGGTCCACCACTCGCATAGAGCCTGGTCCAAAGCCCTCTCAAATCAATGGAAACTAAACCAGGCAGAACTGCAGCCCCTGCAGTAGGAGAAAATCAGAGGCTGTTCCTTCCCAACTCCTATGGGGAGCTCATTGCAGGATCCAAGGAAGAGGCACGGTGTGTCATCACCATATGCCAGGCAGTGCACTTGGCTGGCTGGGAGGTTGTGCCTTGTAGCCTGGCAGGGAATACGCTGATTCTTTGCACCTTTGGAAATGCAGCTCCAACCCATCTCTGATTATGGGCTGTGCCTCCACGGGGGAAGAGAGTCTGGGAAACAGCAGAGGGCAAAACAGTGACGGGGTGGGAGGGACAAAGCATTAGAATCTCTACCATTAGGTACCTGACTCACAACCCTGCTGTACTGGAGGGGCTCACCCTCCAGGACACGGGTAGTCATGTGTTTTGAGGGTGAGAGGAGCCTCGTATAATCAAAAACATTCACTAGCATTACCTCTGAATGCCCCTGAACCAGCTCCAGTGTTAAGCACCACCATGGCCGTGTAAGTGGCCAGTGCCAGAAGCATTACGAAAATCTTCCATTTGTTGTGTGTAAACATCTGTAGGATGGGAAAGGAAAACCAGAACATGAGCAGGAAACCAAGTGGAATTTCATCCCCTTGTTTTTAGACTTCCAAGGCCACCTTCAACACTTCCTGTGCTGGGGTAACATACATGACTGGTAGAAGAGGCTCCCTAATGAGCTAAGCACGTTGTAGATGGTGAAGTAAGTGCCTGTAACTTGTAATCATTCTGTGCATGTACAACACAAATGTAATGTCCCCAGTTTGCTATTCTGGGAGAGGATGGGCACAAGCACCCCCATTACTCATGAGTGAAGAACTGAATGCCAAGTGAATGGAGAAATAGAGCAGGAGGCGTGATAAGGGCGGCACATTCAATATACTAAAGAATTCAAATGGAGCATCCATATATGGTCAGAGCAACCAGCCTCTTTGACAGCCTGGACCCATTTACTTAGAGGAGTAATGGAGGAAGGGCGTTAGAAATGCCCATGGGTCTATTGTGAGCATGTTTAGAGACCAAACAACTAGCAAACATCTGCAAATCTCTCTTCTTTATGTAAGCGGGGAAATGGTCCCGCTATTGTGGGGAACTTTCCTGGCTTCTATACACCCCGGTGAAATGAACCAGCGAAAGGATCTGAGTCCCCGCTCCCACTTCCTTTACTCCACGGCTCCCCTGATCCTGAGGGCTCCCCCTCCACTCTCCGGAGTAGCAGAGTCCTCGAAACCCCAACAAGGCTGGGCCCAGGTTTCCTGGGGCTTAATCCCCGACCTTGTAGTCACTAGGGGCAGGAGTTAGGGTGTCCCCACTCCACGGTGCTCTCTTTACACTACAGGCCTTCTTGGCCCAGTGATCATTTCATAAGGTTCAAAGCAAATACAATTTATTAAACAACAACTGATTAAAGAGAAAAGAATAAGAAACAATGAGACTGGTTAAATGAGAACACACAGCCCTGCTCTGTAGCACAGGGACATCAAAACAGCAGTCTGCAGAGTGTAAGGACAGTTCACAGTCTCTTCCTTAGAGGCCCTGAATGTGCTGCAGGGGGGCTACAGGCTGGACACGCTAGCTCTGGTAGTGACCACACAGACTCAAGCTTGAAATGGCCAGACCCCTCTCCCAGTCCAGAGCCTCTCCCCACACTTTGCAGTTCCCAGCTGCTCACCACACCCAGCTGCAGGCTGTGCTGCTTGGCCAGTCTTCAGCTCCTTGCATTGCTTCTCTGTTCCTTTTGGCTCTCTGAGCACTGCCAGTCTGCTGCTCAACACAGGGTCTGTCTGCACTCCTTGAGCTGTGTATACCTGGCTCTGCTGTTGCAAAACTGTCTCTCCACACAGCTTTCACTCCTTGGGCTGTCTGTGTCTGGCTCTGCAGCTGCAAAACTTCTTCTGCACACAGCTTGCGCTGCTCCTAGCTGTCTCTCAGCTCTCTCCTTGCTCAGAGAGACCCAGAACAATCCCAGCTCACAGGGAGGACGGGGCCTGGCCTCTCTCTTTCCTCACTGGTCTGTCCAGCCTGTCAATCAGGCTGAGCTGGCGTGTTGGCTGCTTTCCATTGTCTCTGGGGTCTGTCAGTCTCATGAACCCTTCCCCTTCTGATACTGGGAGCTGGCAAACCAAAAAACTCCCACAGAGTTTTAGTAAGGGGTAACAGTCCCCTTACATTTACATCACAATTGCATTTACACTGGATCAGGCAAACCTATCACTTTCTCCATTTTTTCTAGGTTTTTACTCTACTTCAGTCTTCTGCTCTGGTTTCACATCCACCTTTTTGTTTGCTTGTTTTCCTTCAATGTAGCTTTTTCATGTTCCATTTGACTTTAAAATCTATAAGTCTAAGGCCTGGTCTACACTCAAGGGAAAATTGACTTGAGATTCACAACTCCAGTTACATGCATTACATAGCTGGAGTAAAACTATCTTACATCGTGTTTTGGCACCGTCCATACAGCGGGAGGTCAACAAGAGCACATGCTCCAGTCAACTTCCCTTATTCCTTGTGAGGACCCGGACTACCGGCACCGACGGGAGCACCGTCCCAGTTCGAATTAGTGTGTCTTCACCAAACCTGCTCATTTGAACCCCAGAAGATCGACTGTAACAGCTTTGATCTACTCTGTAGTGTAGACAAGCCCTATGAGTCTTTAATCCTACAAAAATAATCTCTTATTTTCACCTTGGTATTACCTCTCCATCTATTGGCTGGAAATACTGGTACAGCACACGGATATTTTATAGATTTTAAAATCTATACATCAATTTTGTAGAGAGACATTTGAAAATATAACAGAGGATTTCTCAAAAAATATCTTTTGGGCAAGAATGTTGACATCTAGGAAAAATTGTATGGTATCTATCCAAGTAAAACTTCCATACTTTGGGCATATGATTTTTTGTGTATCCCAGTAGTGCTAAAGTTTTCTGTATCAAATAACAGTCAGCGCTGCTATTCCTTCTATATTGCATAGCAATAATAAGTGAATGGTTCTGAGGTGATAAGGGTTAAACTAATGAATTCCAGGTCACACATGAATGGATAATTTTAGAGTGCTGTTCTTTGTTCCTGGATTTAACTCCACCCAAATGCACCATCCAGAAGAGGGAGAGGAAATTTGTTTTTTCTCTATTCAGTCCAAGCAAGCTTTTTTCATATCTGTTTTTTTTATCCTTTAATTATCAATTTATTTCAATTAAAATAATAGATTCCAGAAGTAGGGAGATCGTTTAAACAAAAGACAAAGATTCTGATCTGGATTATACTAGCATAAATCTGGAGTAATTCCATTGATTTTACTAGGGCTATTCTGGATTTACAATGGTGTAACTGAGATTAAAAACTAACACAAACTTTCTTTACTAGCATATTTGGAAGAGTCCTTTGATTAGTGAGCACTGGGGAAATAAGCACTTGCTTGTGGAAATCTAGGAGGGAAATAATTTATGCCTTAATGACATTTTCACAAGCCACCTTTCTCCTACTGCCTCCATTTGATTTACTGTTGATAGGAAAGGTTTCTTTATTTTCCTAGCTGAAATTACAGGCCTTGCATGTTGTTTAGAAGATTTAGAAATATTACTCACAGTGTTCCTCCCGATGCTGGCTTTTGAGACGTTTTTCAGCTATGGTTCAGGTATTTTCCAAGTCTCACTGGAGTCTCACTGCCTCTAGGAATTATGCCTTCAGACTTACGTATACAAGAATGTATACAACTTTAGGAAGATCAATAGCATGTCCTCCCCAGAACACTAGTAGTCATTGAATGGACTCTTTGTTTTGCACATTGTTTATTGTACCCTCTGATTGGCTGAAGCGTCTTGAAAGCAAAGCTTATGCAACAGAAATGTGGTTACAAAACTCAGTCCTGTTATAACACCAAAAGTCCCACTGCCTGTCTCAAAACTTTCTGGTAAGGAAACATAACTAATACTGTGCCCTAATATTTGTAGATTCCCTTCTTATTTCATTTGCTGTCCCTGTGATATACAAATCTAACGCTCTGTAATTCAGTGGAATACAAATCCTGACACACGACTGTAGCTAAAGAAGTTCAAACGGTATGGCAGGCAGTCCTGTGTGTTAGCTAAAGCACAGGAGTTACTTTAGGACAGTATAGATTTCAGCACCATTTTAAAAACAGCTGCTTCCTTTTTTTTTATTTAATAAAAAAAAACTGGCTTTTAATGAGCCCGTTCATCTTCATTTCTGATGCTATAAAACTATTGGACGGAACATAGTGTTCCTGCTGGAAAAAGAGATGGCTTTCCAGAGCCCTCCCATCTTCAAACAGGAACCACCGAGAGTGGTTTTTGTTTTACTGACTTCTTAGCCAAAAAAGAATAAAACTAGAGCAGTTAAGTAGCTTTCCTGAGGGACTCCCTGCAGGCTGAGCTGCACTGTTAACAGCACAGCTGTAAGGAGAGGTTCTGGGTAGAGCTGGCTGGGGATTTTCAAACACAATGTTTTTTCAGCAGAAAATGTCAATTTATTCAAACAGAAACTGTTCACAAGAACCACAGAGGGTCACCTCTGATGGATTCCCCTATTCAAAAACATTCTTGAAAAAAGACAAATGCCTCAAAATTGTCAAGTCGTCCCGTGTCAACATTTTACAAACAAAAAGATTCATTTTTTCCATTCAAAACAACTTTTGAGTTTGATATTTTAATTCCTTTAGACTAAACACAGTTTTACAAAAATTTAAAATGTCTGAACGTAAATGAAACATTTCAAGATGATCCAAATAAAACATGAACATTGACCCGAATAGATCTCCTTCCGCCACCCTCCCAGATGATTGGTTTGTGAACTTTTTCAAGATTTTGACTTTTCACCCTGTTTTGGAATTGGGCTGGGGAGAGGGTTTTGAAATCTTGAAATCTCTCACGGCACAGAAAAACAATTTGCCACCTATCTCTAGTGCCGAGCCTCTCTGTCCCGGACAGAAGAGACTGAGAGGAGAGACTGGATTCAGTTTAGTCTTTGTACCAGTCACCAAGGCAGGATTCCTTGTACTCTCCTCATACTATCCACTCAAAAGACAGCTAATTTGGCCCTGAGTATAGACCCAGTTCTAGCAGTATCTCTTCTCATGCTGAATCAGGGTGGCAGAATCAGACCCTATATAATTCAGAGAACACCAATTCTCAGCAATTCTGTAGGGCCATGTCTACAGTAGGAGATTAATCCAAATTTACTAAATTTGAATTCTGGGCATCCGATTTTACAAATTCAAAGTTTCGTGTCCTTGCTATGGGGAAGAATCGAATGTCGTCTGAGGCAGGCTCCGTTAATGTGGATGTGCTACCTCAGACTCAGAACCCCAGGAACACTCTGGGGAGCTGTGGGAGGCCTCCTGGAGGCCAGTAAATTCGAATTAGCAGCACTGGAGCAGTCACACTAATGTTATTTTGGACTTACAAGTTCAGGAATAGTGTTATTCCTCATGAAAAGCAGGACTACAGAGTTTGAATTCCACAGCCCCTTATTCTGAAACAACGGGCTTGGTAGTATGCATGCATCGCTTACAAATTCGACCTTGGGGGGCTAATTTCGGACTAAGGTCCTAGATTAGACCAGACCTAGGAGACAAAAAAGCTTGGAGGAAGTAGAGAACTGGGAAAATGCAGAGAAATAACTGGGTTTTGACAAGACTGAGAGTAATTAAAGTGAGAAATCAATCAGACAATGTGCATGCTTTGCATTGGGAAGGTTCTTGGCAGCTTCATCTCCTGCATACACATAGTTACTCATTCTCCAGAAGGTTAAGCATGATTTGTTATTGCAGGACATATCAGTGACGGAGCATCAGCATCCTCCGTCCAGGTTATTTGCTCATAATCTCTGTGGATCTAGTATCCTCTCAATAATACAGCGTGGAACTAACCAAAGCCAGGAACATCCACTGGTTATTTATGGCTAGGTCCTGCTTGCCCCGGAGCATTATGGGAGGGTGTGGTGCATTCCTCCCCGGGCACAACCTGTGAAAGGGTCAGGTAGAATGCCAATCCCAAGACTTTCAGGAGAGCAGAGAAACCTCCAACTCTGCTGCTCTGGGTGCTCACAGTTCTCTAAGGAAAAAGACAGGAGGCTGAGGGACATGGCTTCACCCTTCCCACACACTGACCCATGGAATCAGCTGGCAGAGAGGGCAGACAGTTCCTACACCCACAAAGAGGGCAGCAGCAGGCATGTAGGTTTAGGAGTCTCCAGGGGAAGCATGACTTTGTGCTGGCTCATACCCCCCATGGGGCAATCTTTTCCTTAAGTGCAGGAACTAGAGACCCCAGTGACTTTGGCAACATCTAGCATGCCCGGAGCATTGGCCATAATGCACCTCTTGAGCTGTGGTTTAACACAACAGTCCCCAGTGACCTCAATGCAACTCGGGTACAGCACAGAAGTTTGGGGCAGACTCACAGGAGCTGGAGTGCAAGGTAAGAGGTACATCCGGATTTCAGTCCAGATGTCCCTTATACACTGGAACCAGCAGTAGCTGCTTGTCTGGCTCTGTGCACTCCCTACACTGAAATTCATCTCTTGATGCCTTGAATATCTTCTGACCTGAATTCTATTGTTGGCAATGCCACATGCAAACCGCATCATGGAGTTAGATTTACAAAACACTCAGGGGAAGAACTAGAGAGCTTTTTAGCTAGAGTTCCTGGGAAGGAGTTTTTTCCAGGGGCTGACTCCACTATTCCCCAGTATAAATATGTTCAGTCCATAATATGCTAAAAATATGCTTTTTTTTTGGGCGGGGGGAAAGTGGGAATTTTGTTCTTGGTGACTTCATAGAAGACACTAATGCTACCAATGAAAGCTCACTCCCGTCAGACACTGACAGTGAGTGTGAGGGGAATTCTTCCTCTCCTAAAAGAAGAGGAAAACACTCTCTATATAACAAATAAATATGTATATGTTGGTTATATGTGTAAGCATTGTATAATTTAAACACACCTGGTCTCAATCAGCCAGCTCTCCACCATGCCAGCCAGATCAACCCAAACAGACACAGAAAACACACAAAAAAGGACAAAGTGCTGAAAAAAGGAAGTGAGAGATGAGCGGATGTGAAAGGCAGGTCCATGATGCACCTAGTCCGGAATGCAGACACAGTAGGAGGGACGCTGGCAGACAAATACTATAGACGGCATGACAGGCCTAGGATCCCTGGACCAAGCAAGCACTGTCCCTATGTTGCCCCAGATTGTACCTCAGAACAATCGCAGCAGTGCTGAAGGATTTTGTAGAGAGGCAATTACTCGGGTACCTTAGGACTTGATCATTGAAGGCTATAAGCATAGCCTTGAATTAAATTCATTCATGGCCTAATGGGTACCCTGTCTGGGCAATCTTGGCAAGTTGCTTCCCCTCTTTGTGTCTTGGTTTCTCCAGCAATAAAATGGAGATAATAACAACACTGGCCTGCTTTTGTAAAGTGCTTTGGGACCTCTGGATGAGAAGAGCTATATTACTGTTGCCAGTGCAAATCCCAGAGGGTGGGGATTGATGACTTGCTCCTTCCTATAAAGAGCCACTTTCTCTCTGCAACTAGTGACACTTCCAAGTGAAAGTCAATTATGAACCCCAACTAGGACTGAAGGAAAGTGGCCACGTGAATCACAGGGGTGAGGTCTGCCTAGGGAAGCAAAGGGCAGACTATCCAGAGGCTCTAAGATTATTGCAGCCATGGGGACCTTGAGGTTCCAACCTGATTCACGTGCGGCAGCCTCATCCTCTGAATACTGGAGAGTGTGGGAGAATGCAACCCACAATTCCCTTCATGTAACTTTCCACAACCTTCCATTGTTATCCAGCTCACCTCTAAAGACACAGCTGGATCTAACTCAAGCCAAAATGGCTGCCAAGCAATCCCGCATTGGTTGCGTGAAATGGAAGTACCTTGAGCTGTGTAGAAGTGGTATATGAATGGAAATGATTAAATACCTATGGTAATAAACATTACTCCTAGCAATCTGTGAGATCAGGATTTTAGTTTGTAACATCTATAGAGCACAGACCTTAACTTAAGAGCAATGATTTACTAATTATTATTATTATTATTATTATTGTGGTGCCCCAACCGTGATCTGGGCCCCATTGTGCAAGGCACTATGTGTATGCCAATAGGGTGTCTACACTGCAATTGGGAGGCACAACTGCAATATCAGTAGATATACCCAAGCTAGCTAGCATTTACCAAGCTAGTTTGATCAAAACAACAGTGTAACCATGAGTACAGTCCTGCCCAGGAACTGAGGTACGCATTCTAGTGGCTAGCCCATGCTACTGCAGCTACACTATGATTTTTAGTGAGCTAGTTTGGATATGCCTACATGCGCTGTCCCGATTGCAGAGAAGACACAGAAAAAGTCCCTCTTTCAAAGAGCTCACAGTCTAAATAGACAAATGCCAGGAAGCAAAACAGTCACAGTGTAGTGAAATGACATGCCTGGTGATTGGAAATGACATCCATGTTGCCTTTTCCATGGATCCACCCATAAGGAACCTACCACATTGCACATGCTGCATTTTTAGTAATAAAACCCCCACCTACACCACTTTGGGCTGGACTTGACTTGGCAACGGAGAGGGGAAAGTCTCTGTCGGGTGTTATCAAGCTCATGAGCCATCTAGTCTCCCTGTCCTGTGTACATCCCCAAATAAAAAATGAGCGAGTCATCCCCATAACATGGTCACATTTGTGACAGAGAATAACATGCTACATACTCAGAAATGTGCGCTGGCTTCTTCTGATTTAAAAATTGCTTCCAGATGCTTTAAATCAGGTC